TGTTACACAAACACACGAGGCCAACCAATGTCAGCAGCAGCAGAAGCAGCAGCAGCAGCAGCAGCAACAGCAGCGCCACCGACGCTACACAGGGCAGCATCCCACTGCTGGCTTCGAGCCGTGCTCTCAAGGGGCCCCCATCACCAGGGGGGGCCCCCGGAGCCCCTAGGGGGCCTCCGAAGCCCCTAGGAGGCCCCCAGGGGGGCCCCCAGAGGGCCCGCAGGGGGCCCCTAGGGGGCCCCCGTAGCTAATAAGAGGAGTGGAGGGGGGTACCTGCCAGGGGCTCGATGCGGGGGGGGCCCCCATAGGTAGTAAGAGAGAAGTGGAGGGGCCCCTAGACCCCTCAATAGAGAGGAACTGCAGGTGTACATACACGCGGGTGGTGCTGCTTTAGGGTTTATAGGGGGTTGGCTGTTTAGGGTTTAGGGTTTGCTGGGGTAACTTCTAGGGTTTAGGGTTTAGGGTTTAGGGTTTTTAAAATGTTTTTAAAGAGTTAATTGCAGCATTGTGCGATACACACCGCCGCAGTTTTTTTCTGCTTTCTACACACATGAGCTGCCTATACACCCCAGCGCCATTGCGGTTGCTGCTCTGACCCCCATAGAGAGGGGCCCCCAGCTGCCGCCAGCAGCACTTACCTGTAGAAAAAAAGTGAATAAATATAATATATTAACGCAATTAAAGGGGTATTAATATCCCTTTATTGAAACACGCATAAAAAAACGAGCAGGGGGCCCCGGGGGCCCCCGAGAAGCTGTAGGGGGGAGCCGCTGCAGCAACAGCTGCAAGAGCAGCGGTAGCCGTTGCTGCTGCTGCAGCAGCAGAAGTAGTATTTTCCGGTATTTAGCTGAAAAGAACTTCGAGAAGACACACACAAGCGAGAAGCAGCAGCAGCAGCAGCGGTGGCTGCTGCTGCAGCAACCCCACCCTAGTAACCACAACACAGGACTGCAGCAGAACCCTGCAGTGAACTAAAAACGCAGTCGTATCAAAAGAAGCTGCAGCAGCTGCTGCTGCAGCAGCTACAGCAGCTGCAGCAGGAGCATCAGCAGCAACAGTCACACCTGCACGTGCTGCTGCAAGCGCAGCAACCGCTGCCTCAACAGCAGCAACAGCTGCAGCAGGAGCTGCAGCAGCGGCAGCAGCAGCAGCAGCTGCTGCAGCAGCTGCTGCACAAAGATGGTAGGGCCTTTGGTGGACAGGGCAGAGGGGAGTCCTGCAGCAGCAACAAGCCTGCCTGCTGCTCCTGCTGCTCCTGCTGCTGCTGGAGATACACACGGGGCATCAGATGCAGCAGCAAAGACTGCTCAGAGACGCAGCAGCAGCAGCAACAGCAGCAGCAACAACAGCAGCAGCACCAGCAGCAGCCCACCAGAAGCAGCAGAAAACCGCAAACGCGGGGGGGACCCAGCTGCTGCAGACGAACGGCTTTCAGCTCGCCGTCGTCGCAGCTCAGCAGCAGCAACAGCAACAGAAGCTGCAGCGGCAGCAGCAGCAGCAGCAGACCCTGCAGCAGCACCAACAGCAACAGATGCAGCAGCAGGGACCGCAGCAGACGCTGCAGCAGCAACAGTAGCAGACGCTGAAGCAACGGCAGCAAGAAATGCTGGACCCGCGCCAACACCAGACGCTGCAGCAGCAGCAGCTGCTGCAGCAGCAGCTGCTGCTGCTTCTCCAGCAACAGCAACAACTGCTGCTGTTCAGTCTCCAGACAAGCCTCGTAGTGTTGCTGTTGCAGCAGCAAAGAGGGCAGCACCAGCAGGCTCAAGCGCCCGCTGGCAGCGAACAGGCAGCCGCCGCAGCAGCAGCAACAGCAGCAGCAACAGCAACAGCAGCAATTACACCAGCTGCAGCAGCGGAAGCATCAGCAGCAGCAGCAGCAGCAACAACAGCACCAGCGGCCTTGGGAATCCGCCTATAGCTGCAAGGCCTATAACTCCTTTGTCTCGTGATGCAGCGTCGCAGCAGCAGCAGCAGCAGCAGCAACAGCAGCAGCAGCAGCAGCAGCAGCAACAGCAGCAACAGCAGCAGNCAGCAGCAGCAGCAGCAGCAACAGCAGCAGCAGCAGCAGCAGCAGCAACAGCAGCAACAGCAGCAGCAGCTCTCAGAAGCTGAGGGTGGCTCAGATACATTTTACTCTGCCCCCCAAACTCCGCGCGTGGCATCAGCTGAGACTTCTCCAGCAGCAGCAGCAGCAACAGCAGCAGCTGCTGCTGCTGTTGCTGCTGCTTCTTCTCCTGCTGCCGCTGCTGCTGCTGCTGCGCCTCATTCGGATGGCCCTGCTGCCGTGACCGCTCAAGAAGCAGCAGCAACAACGGCTGCAGCAGCACCTGAGGCGGCGGCAAGAGCAGCAGCAGCAGCAGCAACAGCAGCAACAGCAGCAGCAGGAGCAGCAGCAGCAGCAACAGCCGAAGATCATCTTCGCTTGATGCAGGACACTCCAAGCGTTGTTAACAGCCAGCTGCAACCAGCAGCAGCAGCAGCAGCAGCAGCAGCAGCA